CTCTACTAGCAAGCATATGTGTGAAAAGATCAATAATGAGTCTTTTTTCTTTAGACTCAGTATGGCACATCTTCTTAATCTAAAGATCAATACGGAGTCTTCTTTCTTTGGACTCGGTATGGCACATCTTCTCAATCTAAGTTCTGTACTATCCACCTTCTTACCCTACTTATCCTCTATAGGGGGGTATGCAGCACCCTGGTGGAGTCCTATCCGTCCCGAATGTGGGGGTTCTCAATCCGTGTCATTCCTTCTTTGCCGACTCCGTCCACACCTTTGGGGACCCGCTGGGGTTGGACCCCAGCATAAATGAAAATTTTATTGGTAACAAAGACTATGTTCAAATATGAGAACATATAGTTTTAAGGACATCTGCAAAATGATTGCCTTTCTCTTCACAAACTACTAAAAATACCATGCAAGACTTGATCATATCCATAGGTTTCTTAGTAAATGAATGAATAAATGATATAGCTGTGCAAACTAATGCATCTGTTATTTTATTTTTGCCTAACTGTTTCCAATTCTCAGTCAGCACTTTTTGTTTTTTAAATATACGTTTCAATTAGAATAATCATAGAGCACCAGAGTTAAAGAATGGCCTCTGAGACAAATCTGGCCCACTGCTTGTTTTTGTATGGCCAGTGAGTTAAGAATGGTTTTTACATTTTTAAATGGCTGAAGAAAATTCAAAAGAAGAGTATTTCATGACATGTGAAGTTACATAAATTTTAAATTTCTGTGTCCATAAATAAAGATTTATTAGAACACAGTCATGCTTATATACAGCCTATGGCTGCCTTTATATTATGACAGCAGAACTGAGTAGTTGCAACAGAGACTGTATGGCCCACAAAGCCTAAAATATTTATGACCTGACAGTACAGAAAAAGTTTACTGACCCCTAATATAGTATGTCACTAACTTTGTACCTAAATTTATAAATATACTAGTAGCCCATTGCACAATATTGCGCAGTAGGCTGCCCACTGCTTCCGCGGGAGCTGGCAGGAACCGCAGTGCACCGCCTGGAGCTGCGCTGCTTCCACCAGAGGCAGGAGGGAGCCGTGCTGATTCCATGGGAGGTGGAAGGGAGTCACGCCACTTCTGCAGGAGCATGGAGGGACTAGTGCAGATTCTGTGGGAGGCGGAAGGGACCCGCGCTGCTTCTGCGGGAGGCAGGCCTGCCGTCTCCTCTCCGGGCCTGGGCTCAGCTGCGGAGGCCGCAGGCCAGCCCCCTGTCCCTGTCCATGTCTGTTCCGGCCGGAGCTGCCTCCAAGCCTTCGCGGGCCCTGGCCGGAGCCACCTCCAAGCCTTCGCGGGCCCTGGGCGGGAGCAGCCTCCAAGCCTCACAATCAGGATCATGGGTCACAGGCAAGGCGGCTCCTGGGTCCCAGGGGTGCCGCCTTGCCTGCGGCCCAGCTTTCCGATCGTGATCACCGGCTGGGGACGGGCAAAGGCACCCTGGTTCTCCAATTCAGGGCCAGGGCTCTTGCCTGCCACCTGGGTTTCTGATCACCCGGTTCTTGCCTGCCGCCTGGGTTTCCGATCACTGTTCTTCTGTCCTTCCCCTTTCGCCTCCCATCATTGCACCTACGTATGCAAATTAACCGCCATCTTTCTTGGCAGTTAATTTGCATGTCACCCTGATTAGCCAATGGGAAGCGTAGCGAAGGTACGGTCAATTACCCTGTTTGTCTTTTATTAGATAGTATTGTCAACACGAAACTCCTGTAAATATCTTGAAATATTCAGCATCTCTATATATTGAGTGAACTCATATATATTTATAACCACAATGTCCATCAAAAGCCATTGACAAAGAAGAAATGAACCAAAAGTTGAAGATTCTAAGTTTGTGCCTGGATACTGAAATATCAGCTCAGTAAATACTTTGAAAAAATAGACAATTATTTCCACTTTAAACATCTAAAACTTCAGAGTTAACTCATTTCTTTCAATCCTTCTCCTCTCTCTGTCAGAAAAACAAGTGTGTGAAATATTTTATACCTAAGGCTGCTACTGGATCTTTAAGAATAGCAACTACTACATTAAAATTGTAACACATTTTAAAAATATATATTATTTTATTGACTTTTAGAGAGAGGGGAAGATAGAGGGAGAAAGAGAAACATTGATTATCAGCTGCTTCCTGCATGTCCCCTACCAGGAACCAAGCCTGCAATCTGGACATGTGCCCTGACTTGGAATCAAATCAGCAATCATTCAGTGCAAGGGACAATGCCCAACCAACTGACCCACACCGGCTAGGGCAATTGCAACATTTTTTAGAAATCTTTAAATATCATTCATTCCTTTCCCCTGCCACTATCCAAATAAACAACAAAAAAGAAATAATTTCATTTAAAATTTTCACAATTAAAGTTTTTCCTATTATCTTTGTTTTATAATCAATACTTGGCATACATATATACACCATGTATGACTTCTTTCAAACCAATACATAATTGTTTAGTAAATTATTATTTCAGTGCACCCTGAGATTTGAGAAAAAGGTAAAGATACTCAAAAAAAGTATCAAACTGCTATTTAGAAATTTTAGCTTGAAAAACATTGTTTGCTAATTTCTTAAACTAAGTTATTACCAAATCTACTTATGTAACAATATTAACAAAAACCATTTTTTATACATTATTTAGTCAACTATATAACTGGCAATTTAAGAAACTCACACTGAATGGGGCCAGGTGGATACTTGAAATACAGAGGGACCACTTAATAAAGGATATGATAACCATAATGCTGTATATTTGAAACTATTACAGAATGATACTGAATGTGAACTGTAATGTAAAAATAACAAATAAATAAATAAGAAACTCACACTGTCTTCCACATCTCCAGTCTTCCAGCCTTTTAGCAACATTTTAGACACAGGTATCTGGAGTTCATTTTCTAGAATCTGTTTAATCTCTCCTGTATAAAGAAGAAGATACTGAATATTACTAACAAAATAATGCTATTAACGCTTGTTCATATCCAGGGCTAGCATTCATGTTAGCCATATCTGATGAGTGAACAACAAAAATTTCAATAATCCAAGCTTCAAATCTTGATCAAACAACACATAGCCCTTTGAAGAATTCAGGCTTCAATATCAGTTAAGAGAAAAGACTCCACAAGTAATCAACTAGGTAGTTAATTAATTGCATAGCTTTTTTAAAGACATTGATATCAGTGACTGGAGGTTTGAAGAGAAACAATCTATTTTAAACCAATCAATTGACAATACCTATTTGTGTTCAGCATATGGTAGGAGTAGCAGGTAGAGTATAAAACCTGAGTCATTATAGGAAAACTGGCTGGTGTGGCTCACTGGTTGAACATCGACTCGTGAACTAAGAGGTCCCTAGTTCAATTCCCAGTTGTGGCACATGCCTGCATTGCGGGCTCCACCCCTAGTGTGAGTTGTGCAGAGGCAGCAGATCAATGTTTCTATTTCTCTATCCCCCTCCCCTCCTCTCTCTAAAAATCAATAAAAACATATTTTAGGGAAAAAAAGTAGCTGAAAGAAAAATAAAGCCAATAATCTAGAACACAATTTAAATTGTGTTAGAAAAGCAACAAAAGTTCAGAAAAGGAAACAAAAACAAAAACATGGTGGGTCAAACAGAGAAAGCTTTGTGAGAGAGATGAGACTTAAACCCAGCTTGAAGAAAAACTGAGTTTAAACCAACCAAGCTTGAAGTATAACTGGATTGTGAAAGAGAGCCAAACCAAAGGCAAAGATATTCAGTTTTGTAAAGACAAAGACTGAAAGGTATAAAGGCAATAATAAAAATGATTCTAAAGAGAAACAGTGAGAAATCACAATTTCCCCCATGCTCCATAAATTTTTATCAGGAATCAAGTCTACTTATAAATAAATCAGTTAATTTCTGGCACTAAAGTTTATTAAACAGATTATTGAATCAAAATGTACAAATATTTCATACATCTGCTTCTATTAAGTTGGTACTGGTCTATAATTTTAAATTAACAGATAATTCAATTCCAGTTATAAGTGATTGAATACTGAAAAAACTGTTGTGTATTTAAAGAAGAAAAATAATTCCATTCCATATATTAAAAGAGGATAAAGTAATAGAAGAGGGAGAAAAGCTTATGTTACATAAGCTCTATGGAAACACAGCTGCCTAAGTAAGGAATGCTACAAACAAACCCTTCATGGACTTACTGACATTTTTGTACTTTCTTAAAGACAATTCCCATATAGGCACTTTGGAATAGTTATTAAATATCATAAAAAGAATTCTGGTTCAATATTTTAGAAGCATAAATTTTTATGAACTTTGGCCTTCAAAAATGGCACTACTGTCAAAAGATTGTTCTGTTGATCCAGAGACCAGCTACTAACCTGGAAACAAGGGATCTCAAGCAGCGTGACTGCCTGAACTCAGACTAGCACTGCTTCTTCTCACAGAAAGCGCAGCAGAGAGAGAACTACATAACCAAACACCTTGAGAAGAGAAATCATGGTGAAACAAAGAACCAACCCAAATATGAAAGAAAAACAGGCATCATCAGAAAAGGAAGTGAACGAAATGGAGGCAATGGAGGCACGCAATCTGTCAGAG